AGTGTCCCTGACCTCCATAAACCAGACCCCAGTGACCCTGACCTCCAAGAACCAGGTCCCAGTGTCCCTGACCTCCATAAACCAGACCTCAGCTCCCCACAATTTCTGAGAGCATGACTCAGCCTCCTTTTTGTCCTTGATGGTTCTTTGCAAGTCGAGGTTCAAATGTCATTTATGGAACTGTTGCAAAGGTCTGAGGTTTCAGATCCCATGGTCAATGGCCACTCTTGCTGAATTGTTTGTCTCGTTGGGACTATATTTTTAAACTTAGCAAAAATTGACTGAACTACTCTCAGACATGCCAAAGTCAAGCCATTTGTGTCCATTTGTCCTTGTTTAACCTGGCCATCTTGCAGGAATGTCAGGGTAGAATCTGTGGTGGGGGAAGGCCACTAGCAACTGGGAGCCAGGAGGCCAAGAGTGCGCGAGGAAGGTGGGGACGAGGTCAGCCCTCCCCAGGGACAGCCCTGGTGACCTACCTTCTCCAACAACCTTGGGCCCAGCCCACCTCAGTCCCCCCACCCCCCACAATGGTCCATGCAAATTACTAATCCATGGATGGGTTGATCTACTGCTGAGGTCAGAGTCCTCATGGTCCCTCCACTCCCCAGAGCCCACCTCTGCACACAGCTGCACTGGGGACCAAGCCTTCATCCTAGGAGTCCTTGGGGGACGTCAGGTCCAAACCTAACAAGCACTTCATGTCTGTGGTACCTTCAGAGGTCACATAGATGAAGGCCAGGGGAAGCCACAGCCTGGCTGTTGTCTCCTAAATGTGGCCAGCTCTGCCTGTGGAGGCAGGAGGGTAGCCCATACTCTACGGACTTGTGTAAACTTAGGGACTTTTGATAGAATATAAGGACTGCATAGCACATGGCTCTTAACTTGATGGAGGATCATGCCAAGATGGCAGAGCACAGGCCACAGTGACCACCCGCATCCAGCTTCCTGGGGGCTCCTGGGTTCCGGGCATCTGTGTCACCCAGTCTGCTTTGAGCTGGTGGGGGCTCCCGGCGGCAGCCCTTTCCAAGTCCCCACGGTAACCTGCTCAAGTCAGATGAGGTTCTGCTGGCTTGGGTTTTCCCACGGCCTCTGCGGAGCAAATACGGATCTCACAGGACCACAGTTTTGATGGCATTTGTAAAGATCTGTTTAACAGCTCACTGATGTTAATCCTCTCCGGACCAAGTGACGCATCCTGCTCAGCACCTGTCGGTCAGGATCAGTCAGCACCAGCCTCAGGACCTGCCCCGTGCATCCATCCAGAGTGGGCAGCTCAGCAGCTCTCATGACAGTGTGGATGTGGCCTGCATGGCTGGCCCTAAGGAGGGGCTTGCAGGGGAGTGTGGTGGCACATACCTGTGATCCAAACTGCAGAGGCAGGGGGATCATGAGTTGCAGACCAGCCTGGGCAACTTAGCAGGACCATGTCAGAACAGAACATGAAAAGGCTGGAGTGCAGCTCAGTGACAGAGTGATGGCCTCCTCTACCCGAGCCCCTGGGCGAGTCCCTAGTACTGCAGAGAGCTGGGGGAGGGAGGTGTCCATGCAGTGGTGATGGGTCACTCTTCTCCTCTGTGAGTAGAAGGTGAGGAGGTTATGAAAAGCCAGGGGCATGGGGGGATGTCTTGGCAAAGACCCCTGCTGCTGGGTTTGCTGGCTCCAGGGCTGGAGCCAGGATGCCTCGCCCTGCGCAGTGGTCAGAACGGCAGAGATGGACTTCCAGGCTGCCAAGGACTGCTAAATTTCCAGGCCTCAGAGCCCTGTTGTGTGGACGGTGAGGCCTCCTCCCTGGGGCTCACACTTGGTAAAGCTATGGCCGAGTGTCCAGTGGTCCTCCATCCCTGAACTGCAGTCTGGTGTGGGACCTCTGCCCACCAGAGCCATGGCCCCAAAGGCCCCCAGGCCAACCAGGCACCCGAATCCCCCAGGAATGAATGTTACCCTCTGGTACTGACTGTGGCCAGATGCACAGGGCCCGGGGCAGGGCTTAGCGCCTGCCCGAAGCTGTGCTGAGCCATGTCTCTCAGGCCCCACGTTGTTCTTCCTGGCTGGCTCTCTTCCTCTTTCCTAGAGCCAAGAGCTGTTTAGAAATATTAAACTCCAAGGTCAACAGTTTTATTCAGGCCCACAAAAATGTCTCTTCCCTCACACAGCCACAAAGAATGCGAGCCACTCCGCCCACAGCCTGGTGGCCGCTCCTGCACCTCGGATGCCGAGCAGCTTCTCCCCAGGCTGCACCATGGGTGGACAGCCCCTGGTCAAGCCTCTGCCCTCAGGTGGGGGGCCCCCTTGGCAGCCCCCTGCTCTTCGGAGCTGGGCTTGCAGGTGTGACTCCCTGGGCTCAGCTGTGGAGGGTTTGCCGAGGCCTCTTCCTGGGGGCCTCACACCCAGTGTTTGGGGCCCTCCATGCTCTCCCTGCAGGCTGAGGGGTGGTCAGTGTCCGGTGGTCCTCCATGTCTTGTCACACTGGGGCTCCATCCCTGACTCCCCAAAGCTGGCCTCAGGGTCTCAGCCGAGAGAAGCCTCGCTGCAGGTCTGCTGTGGGCTTCCGCTCGGGCTCTCCTCCCATCTGTGCAGGGTGGGCGCACTGAGCGGCTGAGCCGGCAGGAGTTGTGAGTGCACCCCTTTCCGTTTCACCAAACTTGAGAATCATGAAACCTGATCGACGTGCAGAGAAAGTGCTGGATGAAGCTGTGCCAGGCCTGGGCCCTGCAGGAACCTGCTGCCCGTGAGCTGGCCCTTTTGGCCAGGGGTGCCCAGAGCTGGGGCTGTGCTCGGCTTCAGGCTCGTGAGGTTGCTCTCAGGGTCAGCAGCGGGCAGCTCTTCGTGCTCGCTTCTCAGTGTCGCAGGTGAAGCCTGGCGGAGGCGGGGCTGTCTCGCAGCTGCTGCCGCTGTTGCCTGTGTGTGGTGTGCACGTGCTGGGCCTGGACGGACACTCCTACTCATGAGACTGGTGGCGACTCGTCAGAGTCGGGCTTCTGCCGTCTCCGTCTCCGGGCTGCAGAGCCTCCGCTGTTGATTTACCAAGACGCCGACACTCAGTGTGTCTGCGGTTTGTCTTCCTCCTCCTGCCCAGCACAGAGCCACATGCAGCCCTTAGCCCCGGGGCCTGCTCGGGCCTCCTGCCCATTTCGTTGTTGGGTGGTTATTCTGCCTGATGGATGAGAGCCCTGTGTTCC